ACTTAGTGAGACGTGCTCACCTTTTTGAATCCAATTTTAGTTTTCTGAGGTCTTTCATTGAAAAAACATTGCAGTCAGCTCCAGTATCCAATCTGACTCTTTAAACTTTCTTGTTGAGTATCAGATCTTCATGCCACTTTTCTGTCCGTCTGTCTTTCCTGGTGATTTGTGACACTGAATGGTCTTGTTTCTTTGTGTGAATGGAGCCGATAAAAAAACTCCTCTCCACCGTCTGTCTTATTAAAATGTTTAACTTTTGCGTTGTTTGTGATCTGCACGTCCTTGCATAAGGATTTTTTCCATGTCAAGCTTTGCAGACTTGTCCATAAGCAGGACATTTCCTCGGATCATGCCTGTAGCCACATCTTGTGCAGTTTCCTTGACTCCTCTTATTTACACTTGCTGCTGCAGCTCTGTTGTCTCTGTTTGTCATATTGTGTTTTCTTTGGGACTTTATTAACAGGGATTTCCACCTTCTCATGTAGACTTTTTAGCTGACTCTGACTCCAACAGTGGCTCTCCTATAATTCTTCTCCTCTAGTCTGGTCTTTTATATCACAATATCACACCGCCACCTACTGGCAACTTTGAACAACACATCACATAAGCAGTTCTTTATTTATTTCTTGTACATTCAGCCAACCAGGTCTCTCAGGTTTACTCATTTTCTGGTGTTCAGCCAATTACTCATTGAAGTATGTGAGCAGTCCCCGGCAGCACAGTCTTTTGCAAAGACTCTACGTGTGTCCAGTTGTTCTGGAAATCCTCTCTTCATTGTTATTAACCCTCCTGTTATATAATGTTTCTAAGGAAAAGCAAACAAAAAAATCCCCCCAAACATTTTTATATCTGATTATTAACTCCATTACTAACAATTTCAATCAAAAAGAAAAAAATTGTATAGGTCTTCTGGACGGGTTCTTCTCTAATGAAACGTTTCGTCTCTCCTCCAAGAGACTTCTTCAGTCTGAGAGTTTCAGGACAATTTCAATCAAAAAGAAAAAAATTGTATAGGTCTTCTGGACGGGTTCTTCTCTAATGAAACGTTTCGTCTCTCCTCCAAGAGACTTCTTCAG